CTGGTAAACCAAGTGCCAGCTCTGGCCAAGGACGTAGGCTTTAGCTAAGAACTGATGAACTCATAGCTGGAAACCAAAACAGCTCACCTATATGTTATTTTTGTTCAAAATAAATATTAGTTTTATAAGAACGTATTTGGTGTTTACACTATGAAATGCTTGTAAATTGCTGCATGCATTAATCTCACTTGTAATATCTGTATTCCATGCTATAAGGAACTATGTAAGTTTTGCTTTATAACTTTGAAAATGTTTGCTCTACACTTGTGAACCCAGGCATGAGAATTGTTCCTTGCCCCCACACCCCATCCAGGAGGACTATCAAAAATTAAGTGGGACATTATAAGACAAAAGCTCTATTTATTGACCCATCCACCCATGGAGAACTATGTGCCTCATCCCATTGGTTTAAATGCTGGAAGAGGGAAATAAAAATAGTTGACATGAAAATTTTTCATCCCTTTGCTGTTTAACTCTCAGAGGGCCAGAGACATTAAACTAAGGCAGAGATCCCCACGGTTTGCCACTATTTCTGCCATGAGAGACACTTTGAATTGACAGATTACCAAATCTCTGTCATCTTTAGGAACCATATATGGTGACTCATGGATAATTCTCATTTCTTTTTCTTAATTAATAAACCTTTAGTTAAATTTATTACAGGACTGGCTACAGGCTTCATCTTGGGTGTGAGATCTAAGATACAAATTGATCTGGGGTAAGTGACTAGTCTCTTGGGACAGAAAGCAACCTGAGTATTTTGTGACTTTTGGTGTAAGTGACCACTTATCACCAAGGCCAGCTTGCCAGGGGGGCAAGATAAGACTGGAAGTATAACCCACACTCCTCCCGGGCCTGGTATTCTGTCTCATAGGGGCACCGAGACCACTTAGAGAGATTAATGAGTCAGCAATACAGCCATGTGGCTTTTAGTTCATGCAGTAAGCTCCAGAGGTCCCAGGTTCGATCGCACCTGTTGATGACCAGGGTCTGTAGGTGTTACAAACAGAGAGTCTCAGGGGACTGTCTATGACTCCATGGTAAGTCTGTTATAGTGATCCTAGGAGTTCATGTTTGGTACTGGGTTAGCGAAGTCTAATTATAGAACATACCACCAGTTTGGGATGGCTGCTCTTTGGTAGGCACTAACGGTTGTGAGCCACTCCAGACATGACCGGTTGGCTCCCTGATCTCTCTACCTGGCCTCACAGTGAGGCTGCTCTAACATGTAGCAGGTACTTGGCTATGTTTCCCAAGAGACACCCACCAGCTGGAGAGGGCCAGGATACATTATGGTCCAGCCACTCCCTCTAACATACTCCCTGTACCAGGGAGAATGGCAAAAGAGACAATTTTTCCAGCTCCACACCCCAGAGGTTCCCCATACCAAGAGAACCCTCAGCAAGAGGATTACGGCCGGTCTCTACTCTTTGTGCCTTCTGAGTGGTGCAAAAGAAACAGAAGGTTGACAAAAATGTGTCCCTATATCCATTGAAAAAAAGAAAATAGCTGAAGATGTCTGAATGCAAATACTAATCAAGGCTTATACTTATAATTGTTTAAACCCATCAAAGACCTTTAGCTGTCCTTAAAATTACTATGAAAAAATAGTGTTATTACTATGGACAAGCAGCTGACGGAAGATTGAAGTACAACACAACTTTTTGGTAATATGTCCTCAGTGCACAGATTTGCAGAAAAGAGAATGTAAATAGTGAACTGAAGTTACACAGAAACAGCTAAAATTGATGAGCTTTAAATTCCATAGAAAATTCACAGAAATTGTATCAAATGGTTTCTGCAAAATATCTGCAGCAACTGGTTCCTCCCTCCTAGGTAATGATCATGACAGAATAGATTTCAATTGCCATGAGTAAGGGAGGAAAGTACTAGACAGCTCATTTCAGTGACAGGGTTCTGCTCAGTTCCCAAGTATTGAAAGTCAAGCAATAAGCTAGGGAACACTCAGCTAGAAGCATGAGAATTAACATCCCACAAGAGTTCCGGTATGAGATTATGGCCTTTTCAGTGGAGAACAGCAAATCCGCAGGATTCTGTAGATTTTTTTCTGAGATGCAGATTTCCAGTGGCCTTAATCATGAGAAAGAGAGAGGGTTTTAAGGCAAGATATAAGGTATGGAAGTGACTCATTTATTCGGAGAGTTCCAGACAGATGATGCAATGTAAGCAAAAGAGCACTCTCTGTCTGAGAGGAAGAGACAGAGAGGAGCAGGCGGAGGACGAAGTGATATGAGGTCAAGGAAATAGGGTGGAGTAAGTCCATGGAGATTTTTGAAAGCCAGGAGAATAGTTATGGAGTTGATTTGGAGACTGATAAAGCAGCATTATGACAACATAACTACAACCGTAGGTTCTCCTTCATTGAGATTCTTTACCGGTTATACACTAGGACAAATTTAGGAAATCAGAGCTAACGGAGAGATTGACAGACAAAGGAGATCTGGAAGTACAAGAAAGAGACTAAGGATAATTCCAAAACGTTTTCTCCAAAGACTAAAGCTCACATCTGAGTTCAAGAGAATGAGAGTGAATTCGAGGGCATCTAGGTTTAAAGTGGCTGATTGCGGTACAGGGTTCTCTGCCTGCACTCAACCTTCCTCATCATGTTCTGGGGGGCGAGGGGGGGCGCTCCACAGCTTTGGACAGTGGGGCCTTGGGAATGCTCAGTGTGGGTTCTTCCCCTTCACCATCTCTTTGTGCAACAACAAGAGGGTCCATTAGAGTTGGGGCATTCCAAACTGGATGTTTGCCAAACCCCATTTCATCCTCACTCTCCAAGGAGCTGGGTGTTTGCAGAGCACAGGTATATTTCCATCGTTGGGACTGTGTCCGACTCATGGTACCGGGAGGCTCAGAATCTGTAGAAACATCCTTACGGGGAAACAATACTTGTCCTACAGGTAACAGATGATTCTGGTGGCGAGTTCTGGTGGGGCCATGACTACCCTCAGGACATACATAATACACTGGTAGATCCCCAAGTTTATTCTCTATTATGTATGGGTGTGACTCCCAACTGCAATTTTGTGTTTTCCCTGTAGTCCGAGATTTCGGGCCAAAACTCGGTCACCACCCTGAATCTCCTGTTGCCTCACTCACTGATCATATCGGGTTTTATTCTTTTGATTCTGGTGACCAGCTGCTTGGGTTGCTATCCAATATGCCTCCTTCAGTTGATCTCTTGGGCGAGTCACATACCCCAGTATGTTTCTGGGAGTGCCCCATCTGAAGACACTCCAAAACAGAGATTGACCAGCAACCAGGCTTCTCGACCGAACATTAGCATGTATGGTGTGATCACCATTGCATCGTGTCGAGTGCAGTTATAGGCATGTACCAAATGCTCCACGTGCTGGCTCCAGTATTTTTTCTGCTGAGGCTGCAGAGTTTCCAGCATGTTCAGTAGTGTGCAGTTGAATCCTTCTGGCAGTGGATCCCCTTGTGGATGATAAGGAGTGGTGTGTAATTTCTTGATCCCCAAGATCTTACAAAGTTCTTTTATTAACTGACTTTCTAAATCCCGTCCCTGATCAGAGTGTAGTCTGGCGGGCAACCCATAGTGAACGAAGAACTTTTCCCACAGGATTTTGGTAACCGTGGAAGCTTTTTGATCTTTGGTGGGATAAGCCTGGGCATAATGAGTAAAATTGTCAGTGACCACCAAGACATTTGCAGTACCCCGGCGGTCAGGCTCTAATGATAGAAAGTCCATAAAGACAAGCTCCATGGGTGCAGAACTTATGATGCTGACAAGATGGGCTGCCTGCTTAGGCAGAGTCTTTCATTGAATACATCTGTGCAGGTGCGAACATGGTGGACAATGTCACGCCCCATCCGGGGCCAACAGAATCTTGCCTTAACTAGGGCCTCCAATCGCTCGACTCCCAAATGCTCCATTCTATCGTGGCAGGCCTCTAGCATGCCTTGCTGGTACTTCTGTGGTGGCACCAATTGCTTTGGGTGAGACTTCTGGGGATGCATCTGCCCTCAATCAATAAAGTTGTCCACCCAGAAACAACAGGCGGTCCCATTCTTTCAGCAGGAATGGGGGAAATCCCCAAACTGGAAACTATCCCTCCCCAAAGGTCTAGCTTTGGTCTCCTCTTCGGATGGGGGGCCACTGGCTCGCTGGTATGCTGCTTGACATAAAGCGTGCATTGGCAGCTCCTGCAGATAGTTGTTCCCTGCCGTTTCACAGCATTTCCATGCCAATCTCTGGAACTGGTTTGCATTTGTCCCTAGGATTAAAGGCGCATACTCTCTTCCCTTTGTATCTGGGCAGAGCAGTGCCAGTGTTTCTATTTCCTTATTTACCCCCACAACGTTCTTTGGAAACTGGACATTTAACAGGATATATCCCAGATGGGGCAGGAGTCACAGTCAATGCCCCACACTGTCAGGCCAGACAGGGAACGCAAGAGTAAATGCTGCAGGTGTTCTCGGTAGTAAGATTCATAAAGTATGGTGACCTGTGATCCGCTGTCCAGTAATGCCTCACACAATCGTCCTTCTATACGAACGGGTACTATAGCCTGTGGGCCTGCCAGCCCATCTGGGTAACCCCTGTTTGTGTTTTTTTTCTGGGGAGCCTTGGGATTTCAGGGTCTTGGGTTGCTCCTTCCCCAAGCCCTGTTGGTGTTTCCCTGAAGCTCCCTAATGGTTTGCTGCAATCTCTGAGATACCCTTGCATGATCCGTCTTGTTTTGGCAGTCCAAGGCATAGTGACCATCTCTCCCACAGTTGTAACAGAAACCTTCTCGCCAGCTATCAGCCCTCCTGCTACTCTCCCCTCTTGAGGATGGCACAGTAGGTCTCGGAGCCTTCATCATGGCCACTTCTCTGGTCAAATCTCTCAGTGCTGCTGCCACTGATGGGGCCTCTACCATCTCTCCAAGCACTGTGGTGGTATGACTCCCTGCCCTCTTCGGTTGCACCACTGCATCCACTTGCAACAATCGCTCCTCCTCTTCACATATCTCTCAAACGAGCTTGAGGAATGGGGGTGGGTTTTGGGCCTGCTCCCTCAGTTGCAGTTGCCACAACATTAACCCATCTTGTCGGGTGCCCTGACAGATATGGTCTAACCTAGCGGAATCAATGCACTTGGTGGGAATTCCCTTCTTCCGCACTACCTGCTGTAGCAAATCCTCTAGTCTCCTGATGAAATCCGACAATTGTTTGTGGGGCTCCTGATAAGTATGGCAGAAACAATAATACAGGTCATCACTGCTATCAATAGAACCGTAGACACTCTCAAGAGCGGTTAAATAGTCTTGCACTGTGGCAGCTGGTTGGGAATCTTTCAGAGCTCGGACAATTTGCAGGGCAAGTCCCCTCAGACGTTCAAGCACACGTTTCCACTTCTCAGCATCAGAGCATTCCCACTCTTGGACAAGTGGCACCATAAAATCCCTCCCGGTCTCGTAATCATCCTCCCCTGAGGATACAGGTGACACCCCCGAGAAAGAATGTAACCGCTTGTATGGAGCACTTTCATATGCCGGCTTCAATGCATCTTTGAGAGCGTTTCCCAGCTCTTTTGCCCATCCCACCACGCTGAATGCTGCGGGTGTTGGAGCCCCTCCTAATGCCAAAATTAATTCCTCTCTTGTCCGCTTCTCATCCACCATCAGAGCTTGCAATTCCTGCACTAAAGAATCCATCTCAAGTGACACGAGCACACTACTAGGGGACTGCTCTGCCCCCAGAATTGTCCAGGGGATAGCTCCTACTTGCACCTCTTTGGGTACTTTATCAAGATCTGCTTCCTTGGAGTAAGTACATAGTGCTACCATGCCCTTCACTTTGCGGTTGTAAATACGAGTGTGGACCTTCACTCTCCCCAGTATTTCAGCTGCAACTAGGCTCTCCTCAATTTCATTTGGTTCCATCTCTTCTGGGAACCCAACCACCTGCACAGCTTTGGTTCATGGGATTCATGCCCCTCAGCACAGGTCTTCTAGTAATCCCCACTCCATTTTTTTTTTAAAACTGAGATGAAAGTCACTCAGGAGTTTCTTTGCTCTGTGAAGGAGAGCCCAGGGTGTGTGTGTGTGTGTACACTGCAAAGTCCCCGTACGGGCCACCAAGTGTAACTTTAGCGCCCTCGTGGCCAAGATGGAGTCTCCTCTGCAGGCAGCTCTGGCCAAGAGATGGTGCGCGCAGGAATGCCACAGGAAAAATTTCTTCCACCCCAAGGGCTCCTGTTCCAAACCCCCCAGAGTGAACACACACATCCACAGGAAAAGTACAGTGGATATAACAAAGAGAGATATTTATTTACAGAGGGATGAGAGGAGAAAAACAAGGGAAGTATAGCAGGAGCAGTAAAACAGGGTTGCATCCAAACCAAGGCCCCACAGGCCCAGTGGTAGCACAGTCTGAAAGGACAGACACCGAGCAATGTGTCTGAGCACAGAGTTCAGGAGTCCTGAGCAAAGTTCCAGTTCAGTGCTGAGTCTTGGGTGCTCCTGGTCATCTTCGGCACCAGTGAACTTTCCCCAACAAACCCCACCGGTGCCCTCTTCTGCCGCTCTCTGCAAAGCTGCATAGAGCGACAACCTCCCCACGTAACTAGCTAGCAGCCTCCCTCCTTATTCCCAGTGCAGAGTCACAAGCCCCAGTACTCACAGCCCCTTGCAGCTCTGGGTGGCAGTGATACTGGGTCCAGCTCCGGCCGTCCTTCTCGGGCGATTCCTCCCTGGCACAGTGCTCCTCCTGGCTCCTGTCCTGGGGTGTACGAGACCGGCCGCCTTGTACTTCCCAGGCTTCAGGCAGGTTCTCTCTGCTTCACTTTGTCCAGAGCCTCCAGACTGTAGCCCTTCTCTCCCGGGAGCACCAGAGCCACACCCCCAAGTTTCCCTCCTTTCTCTCACTGCTCCCCCTCCCCACTAGGAAAAAGATTTAAAGGGGCCATGCTCTCTAAACCCCAAGGGGTTACACATATAACTTACAGTGCAAAGGTGATACAAATACATAAATGATATGATTATAGCTGGCAAATTATAACATTTTTGCAAGATACCTTACGTGGTATATCTGGCATAACTCATTCCAATTTTACAATATCGGTATTCATAATGTCCTAAAGTGTCACAGCCCCGATAAACTCTATCCTTTTGTCCAGAATAAGGGTGGACTTCTGTACGTTCAGTAAGAGGCCCAATGCACTGAAGGTCAATTGGATGAGACAGATGTCAGCTTCCACTTGAACTCCAGAGAGGCCTTTGACTAGCCAGTCATCGAGATATGGCAATATGTGGACTCCCTTTTTTCTGAGAAATACTGCTACCACCCACTTATACACTTGGTGAAAACTCACGGGGTGGCTGAGAGGTCGAACAGAAGCACTGTGAACTGATGCTGACTTTGGTTCATTATGAACCTTAGGAAACATCTGTGGCCACAAAAGATCGATATGTGGAAGTAAGCTTCTTTTAGATAGAGGGCAGCATACCAGTCCCCGGGATCCAGCGAGGGAATGATGGAAGCAAGGAGACCATGCAGAACTTTAAATTCTTGAGATACCGGTTAAGATGATGATACAAGAGGCTTTTAGCTGTTCTATACTGTGTAAGGAAATCAACAGTACCATAGAAAGCGGTCAGGCCACGCAACTGTAAACAGCCAAAGAGGGGTGGAAAACATTGTAGAAATCACCTCTCCCAATTAACATAACAAATGTGCTGATAGTATCATAATGCTTAAACATGCATAGAAATGAAGTTAGTTTGAGATTTAAGGCTTTTGATAAGTAATCATAATCACAGAATATTAGGGTTGGAAGACATCAGGAGACATCAGGAGGTTACCTAGTCCAATCCACTGCTCAAAGCAGGACCAACACCAACTAAATCATCCCAGCCAGGGCTCTGTCAAGCCAGGCCTTAAAAACCTCTAAGGATGGAGATTCCACCACCTCCCTAGGTAACCCTTTCCAGTGCTTCACCACCCTCCTAGTGAAACAGTGTTTCCGAATATCCAACCTAGACCTCCCAAACTGCAACTTGAGACCATTGCTCCTCGTTCTGTCATCTACCACCACTGAGAACAGCCTCACTCCATCCTCTTTGGAACTCCCCTTCAGGTAATTGAAGGCTGCTATCAAATCCTCCCTCACTCTTCTCTTCTGCAGACAAAATAACCCCAGTTCCCTCAGCCTCTCCTCATAAGTCATGTGTCCCAGCCCCCTAATCATTTTTGTTGCCCTCCGCTGGAGTCTCTCCAATTTGTCCACATCCCTTCTGTAGTAGGGGGACCAAAACTGGATGCAATACTCCAGGTGTGGCCTCACCAGTGCCAAATAGAGGGGACTAATCTTCCCTCGATCTGCTGGCAATGCTCCTACTAATACAATCCAATATGCCATTGGCCTTCTTGGAAACAAGAGCACACTGCTGACTCATATCCAGCTTCTCGTCCACTGTAATCCCCAGGTCCTTTTCTGCAGAACTGCTGCTTAGCCAGTTGGTCCCCAGCCTGTAGCTGGATAATAAATATTGATAGTTTATAGTTTGAAATCCAAAATGGCGACCACAATGATTTTATATTAGAGACCTCAAAATGGAGGATTCAGACTAAATTGACCAAGAGCAGACAGGAGAATAAGGTGAAATAAAGTTCAGCAAGGTGGGGCTCAGCTTACTCCAAAACACCTGAAGGAAGCAGTGAGAAGGAGGTTCTCAACTATGTCCAGCTTGATTGGCTAAGCAGGTATTGCCCCACTGGGGATCTATGCTAATAGCTGGAACTGAGAAAGCAACCAATCAGAAAGGGCCAAAAATCATATACAAGGCAGAGAACTGGCAGGCTTGGGCGTAGGTGTGTGAGTGGAGGAGAGCAAGCAGGAGCAAGACGAGAAGACAGCAGGAGAAGAGCAAGAGTGAGCAGTGGAGAAGGTGACAGCAGCAGTGTGAAAATTGCAGACAAAACAGAAGCACTCTTAAGATGGTATGGAGAGATTATAAAGAAAAATAAGCATAAAATTCCTTTTTAATAATAAGGAATGCATGAGTATGATTGTAAATAAAGCTGAAAGCCTATGTTTGAATGGACTTGTACCCCACCCACTCTGACGGATTAAGCATCACTCATAGAATGTTGGTGCTTAATGTTCTTTAAGGCAGGGGTTCTCCACCTTTTTCTCTCCGACGCCCTCCTCGACAGGCTAGAAGAACTCCAGGGCCCAGCAGGGTAGAGTGGGGCTCGGGGCAGGGGCCTTGGGCATAGGTGTAGTTTGATTTCTATTTGCGGGTGCAGGGGCTTAAGCCACCTCTGCATGGCGGGGTCCAGGGAGGGAGTGCCACCTCCCCCACCGACTCACTTCAGCAGGCCACCCTGCATGTCTGGGTTGGGGGTGCACAACCAAAACGTATAACTCAAAGGAGGGGGGCTTAGCTCAAAAAGTTTGAAACCAGGTTAGATTGTAGAAAGGGGGCAGCTAGGGGCTGCGTGGAGACAAGAGGCAGCTCAAGGTGCAGGCAGGGGTAGCTGGGGCTGTGTGCACACAGGGGGTGATTGTGGGTGCAGGGGTGGGGTAGCTCAAGGTGAAGGGAGGGGGTATGAGGGGCAGTGTGCAGGCAGGGGTGCAGGGAGAACAGTATTAGATGCCGTGCTGGGAGGACTCCCCTGCAGTCCCTGATCCCAGAGAGGTCTGTCAGCCACAAAGCCGGATCCAAAGTTGGGGGTAACAATGGCGCAGGTCTAAAATGGATCTGAGACCACCTTTGGCTTTCAGAATTAGGAAGTAATGGGAATAGAACCCCTTTTCTCTCACATGAAACACAACTTTTTCCATGGCTCCCACCTGAAGGAGGGACTGGACTTCTTGTTCCAACAGATGATTATGAGAAGGGTCCCTCTGGATCTGATACACAGGGGATTGCAATGCCAACCTCAAGCGCCTCATGAAAACAAGTGCTTCGACAATCGCAAGTGTCTGGGCCCAGGTTGAGCGGGACCTGATGAGGAGGATGGGAGAGGAGGTCTGTCCCTGAATCCCCTATTCTTTGTCCTGTCTTGGTCTTACCTAGGTGGCTGAGAGAAGTAGGAGCCTACTTGCTGGGGACTATACTGCTTCCTTGACTCTGCCGGTATGCCAAGCCCCAAGGATTTCAAGGTTTCCAGTCCTTGAGAACATGCAGCCTAGTGTCTGTTTGCTCTGAGAAGAGCGATGATCCCTCAAAACGGGAAGTGCTGAATAGTCTATTGCATCTTGTGAGGGAGCCTTGAGGACTACAAGCAAGAGCTCTGGCACATTGATACCGCTGTAGCCATTGATCTGGCTATAGACCTAGCTGCGTCCAGGGCTGCCTGCAAGGAGACAGGTGCTATGGTTTTCAGGAGTCTTCAGGGAGTAGGTTCTTGAATTTTAACAGGGACTGCCACATATTAAAATCCTAATGACCCAGCAAGGCTTGCTGGTTCGCTATGTGGAGCTGAAGGCCCCCTGTAGAATAAGCCTTCCATCCAAATAGGTCCAATTTCTTTTTTCCTTTGCCTTGGGCATAGGAGTGGTCTGTCCCTGGTGATCTCTTTCACTGGCAGCCACTAGAACCAGGAAAGGGAGAGAAAAGAGAAATTCGTACACTTTGTCCAGTATGAAATACTTGCACTTTGTGCACTTTGCTGTCAGAGGGAGGGAGGCAGGAGTCTGCCACAGGACCTTTATTGGATCCATGATGGCTTCACTTAGTGGTAGGGCCACTCTCGAGGTGTCCACTGGTGACAAAAATATCTAGGAGACCATCTGTTGCCTCTTTGACCACCTCTGCTTGGACCCCCATGTTCAAGGCTATCCACTTTAACAAGTCCTGGCAATCCTTGCAGGCATCCTGTGGCGAGGAGACCTCTGGTGTTACTAGTGCCTTGTCCAGAGCGGAGGATGAGGAAG